TCTAACCTTCTTAATTCTCCGATTAAGTTGGTTTTCCACTTCATTCTTATAAAGAACGAATTTATCAACGGCTTCATCTTTGCTCTTAAGCAAATACACATAGCAGTATCGTGTGCTATCGTCGATAAATGTGATAAAATACTTATTACCACCTCTCGTTTGTATCGATCTAAAATCGCACAAATCACTATGGATTAATTCTAGTGGTTCAGTTTCCCTTTCAACCGACTTGAAAGGTACTTTCGTTAGTTTTGCCTCAACACAAATTTCACACTTGTTATTTGTGTCAATTTGAAAGTTAGGAATATGGTCCATGCTAATTAATCTACGCATAGAATTAAAATTAACATGACCTAGTCTACCATGCCATAAATTGGAAGACTCAAGCAAGTAAACAGAATTAACTTTGCTTTTATTGATAACAGGAATTACACTGAGCTTAAACAGCCCATTAGTTACATATCCTTTATCAACAAACATTCCTAACTTGGACAAAACTACTTTGTCTGACTCGAACACCATGCGAAAGCCATGCTTGTTCAACAGAGAGCCAGACACAAGATTCTTCCTCAGCTCAGGAACATACAGCACGTTGTTCAACGTTAGTTCCTTCCCGGAGGTCATCTTCAGAACCACCTTGCCCATGCCTTCCACAGCAGACTGAGCCGAGTTTCCCATCCACACCTTCTCACCTTCAACGGTCTCAAAGGTGTTGAACATCTCTCGGTTGCAACACAAGTGCCTGGTTGCACCGGTATCAATGAACCACTCACGAGGGTTTGAGCCCACGAGGTTCACCTCGGTCACCATAGCCGAAAGGCTAATCTCGACCTCTTTCTGATTGCTATCTCCAACAACATTGGCTTCAGAACTCTTGTTCTTCTTCCTTGGAGCCTTGCATTCAGATGCTCTGTGGCCATGCTTGCCACAATTGTAGCATTCACCAGGAAACTTGTTCTTGGTAACGCCACCTTTCGGACCTAGCTTTCGCTTGTCCTTCTTGTTCCTCCTGGAGTTCTTACCGTGCTCCACAACGTTGGCCTTAGCACCAACAACGATAGGAGCCTTCCTATCATTCGTCCTGTTCCCTTCCTCAATCCTGAGTCGCTGGATCAGGTCATCCAGATTCATCTCCTTTCGCTTATGCTTAAGGTAGTTCTTGAAGTCCTTCCAACCTGGAGGCAACAAATGGATCACAGATCCCACTTGGAAGGCTTCACTTAGCACCATGCCTTCGTCACGGATCTCGTCAAATATTAATTGCAAATCTTCTACCTGACTTAGCACGGTCTTTGAATCAACCATTTTGAAGTCGAGGAATCGGCCAACTACAAATTTCTTTGAGCCGGCATCCTCACTTCGGTATTTATGATCCAAAGCTTCCCACAACGCTTTTGATGTGCTTATCTTTCGATATACATCATATAGCGTGTCACACAATCCATTCAGGATGTAGTTTCGGCAAAGGAAGTCCGAATCCTTCCAATAGCCAACCGCCATCACGGATTGTGCATCTTGTTCCTTCAACTCGGGAACACTCTCGGACAAGAACCTTGCCAGGCCGAGAGTTGCTAGGTAGAACAACATCTTCTGTTGCCACCTCTTGAAGTTCGAACCAACACCGGTGAACTTCTCCGGCTTTTCAGCCGAACCACTCGGTACCGAAGGTACCCGAGACATGGGAATATATCCCTCAGTGCTCCCACCATCTTGTGAACCAACGTTCACTGGTGTAGCTTGGGAATTAGCAACATTGTTGCCGTTTCCTCCATTGTTGTTCTCAACAACATTTTCTTCCCCATTGTTAACGATTGGCAACTCGGGGTTCTCCATTTCTTCAAGGAAATTCGAGAAAACAACCAACGGGAAAACAAGAATTAAGGTTTTAAGGAAAGAGTGCTCACTCGACTCTTGCAAAAACCCAACACCAAACACTAGCCAAATTTCTTCATCTTTTCTTCCCTTCTTTCCAAGGAAAATAATAGTCAATTTTATTTGATTATTATTTGATTATTATTTGCCACCTCCCGTAGATGCTAGGAGCGTTGTGGCCTAGGCTTCCCAGGATAAAACTTGCTATGATCCAATGTTTGAGCATTCAAACAAAGGATCCGGCGAGCAAGACAATGGCTATGAACACAGTATAGCTAAAGAAAGAGTAGAAGCAGAGATTTTTGAAGCTGGAAAAGTATACTTTCGTGCTGTGTAAAGCTGTGTGTAAAACTCTACTGCCTCTACCCTCTCTTATATAGGGTTGAAGGAGCCAATAGCCTTTATTATGGCAATTAAAAATGACATTAAAGCTGCCTTCCAACAGCTATAACAGCAGGCCACTACCTGGGAATTGAATTCAGAATTCAAAATTGGAATTAATAGACAATTAATTCCGTAACAGATGAATTCAATCCCCTCAACAGTCAGAACTTTTGGGTTCCTGACCGTTAGCGTACAGGGTTCGGTCTCAACTTTCGACCTCATCCAATTTCGGCCCTTGCACCTTTCGTGGACTCTGTTGCACGAGAGTTGTGCTCTCGGTGCACCACAACCTCTCGTGCTCTCTTGTAGCACGAGAGTAGGTGGCTGTTGCACGAGAGTTGTGCTCTTGTAGCAAGAGAGTAGGTGGCTGTTGCACGAGAGTTGTGCTCTCGGTTCGGTTCTGGGCGAACCCGAACCAAGTGTAGGTGGTGGCTGTTGCACGAGAGTTGTGCTCTCGGTTCGGTTCTGGGCGAACCCGAACCAAGTGTAGGTGGCTGTTGCACGAGAGTTGTGCTCTCGGTTCGGTTCTGGGCGAACCCGAACCAATTTCCGGACGACATTCGTGCCCTCGCACACGAGCTCGGGCTTGAATCAAGCCTTTTTCAATCTCTGCTCGTTGGAAATTGATTTGCACCCCCCCCCCCCCCCCCCCCCCCCCCCGCGCGAGAGAGCCTCTATGCTATACAATTCTACAAGCTTCAAAAGAGCTCTTGTATATAAGGGGGGAAAATCTTCATTCCAAAGCAATGTGGGACAAAAAGCTCACTTTTTTTCCCTTCATTTTCCAACTCAAATGGGTCTACTTTGAGAATCAATATCTCATTCACTCATTATCCGTTTTGAGCGTACAATATATCGATCTCTTCGTCTCACTACGAAGAATCCGAATCCACTTTGACCCGACCCCAATCGGAAGTAGACCCCACTGATAATTGTACCACAAAATAGCCACTTAACATGCCATTTTAAGCTATTTTTTCCAACACTTAAATTGTATTAGGGACTTTCTCTTTCTCATAAGGTTAGTTCAGTTTGAGAATTATTAGTTAGCAGATTAATTGGTAATCTATTAGTATATAGTAGGTAGATGTATTATTATTGGTAATATATTATTATTATTATTATTATTATGAAATATATGTATACCTTTTAGGTCATTTCACATTTTAATTGAAACAACTAATTTTTTTAAAATATTTTTTTACCAACCGCTGATATAATTCGCTGGTCAAATCCGCTAATATAATCCACTATTTGCTAACTGCTAACACAATCCGCTAATGCTAACCACTGATTGCCAAACAAGGACATTGCTAGGTAGTTTCCCACTTCAATTTGTTGTATGATTTGAATACTCTTTGTCAACAAAATTTTCAAGTAGTTAATATGACTGACTTAATTAATTTTTTTTTCATTTTTCATGGTATTAATAAAATACTCGGTAAATAAATATATAGCATTATTTTGTATTATAACTTTGATATTAATTAAAAAATAGTGTGCAAAAAAAGATAATGGACAATGTAGTGAATATAATCAATTGATGAATTTGCATATAAAGAATTTTTACATTTGAGAAAAATAAAGAAAATATAACTAATGAAATTATTTCTCTTAATTAATTTATTGATAATGAATAATTATTTTTTTAAAGGGAAAATTGTCAAATAGGCCCTCGAACTTTAGCTTAAAAGTCAATTAGCCCCTAAATTTTTTAAAGGTGCAATTACACTCATCAAGAATTCATTTAAGTGCAATGAAGTCCAAAAATAAATTAATTACCTGCTATCACGGGTCATTAGGGTTCAAGCTACCTTCCGGCGAATTTTCCGGCTTCCGTTTGTTTTTTTTTTTTGTTTTTTTTTTTTGTTTTTTTTTTAAATTAAATTTTATTTTCTATATAGTTTTGTTTTGATTATTATTATTACATTATTATTAATTATTAATATTATTATTGTTGTAATTCTATTTAATTATTACATTATTACATAATAATAATAATATAAATTTTATTTTAGATAATTAAATTTTATTTTAGATAATGTTAAACAGAAAAAGACAGAGTGGAGAGGGAAAGGTCATGATCATCTTATTCCCTATCTTCATCATAGTACAATGATCTATATATATACAAGATACAATGAAGAGATATAATAATAGAGAATAATTACATCCGTTACAGACGTTACAAAGCTATCATTAATGTCCACCATAAATCTATTTACAACAAAAACATCTCATTAATAATTTTTTTTATCTTTCGTCCCTCCTCAGGGAGATTCTGTATCCGTCTCTGCGCATGTGCATTACTAGTTTACTTTACATGTTTACTACACTTAACATTAATTATTTATCTATTTAGTTAATTCAAAAGATTCTATGCGTGGTTATTGGTATTATAGTACGTATTATATTACATCAAGTATCAAAGCTAATAAATAATCTATAAACTATTAAAGATTGGTATTGGTTGTATTATTTTATTGTTTGATTTTAGATTGTGGATACTGAATTGATATAATATCATATACTACTATAACAACAACAATAAATCATGAATTTGCTCTGAGATTAGCGTAGTGATTCATCGCCTGACTTGAAGTTACAATTGAAGGTGACAATGTAGGAAGTTTAAAGGCCGGGCCTAGGGTGATAGAAAGTATGGTGGATTGAATTCCTTATGCGTAATGAACATTAGGGTTTGACTGGTAAACTAATTGTGTGTGACTGAGGGACAAAAAATGACTAAACACTTAATTTTACAAACACGTACTTTTTTATGAACAAGTGAACAAGTAATATTATCCATTGGTAAAAACTACTAATACAATCTACCTACTATATACTAATAGCTTACCAATTAATCTGCTTACTACTAATTCTCAAACTAAATTAAAACCTATATGAGAAAAAGAAAGTTACTAATACAATTTAAGTGGGTGTTATCCCATAAATTTTTTTCCTCATCGATTAGCTAGGTCGAACCTCAATGCCCTTGACAATGAGACCAGACTTCCAATTCCTGTTTTTAGTACTCCAAAGTCGCATTTCGACCTCACCTTCATTTATTGAACTAATGTAAAAATCTCCGAGCTTAATCTCCATCCACCCATCATGGCGACGGTTTGGAAACCGGCCAGGGTCTTCATAAGACCTTCTTTTCGCTAAAAACACTTGACAACGTCGATTCTCATTATAACTTCTTTTATCCTTGATGTATCTCACTGATGTGAATGTTGTATCGAGACATTGAGCTTTCGGTTTAAGTTTAAAAATAAGGTAGGCAGAATAAGAAGTGATTTTGTGCAGGAGCCGAGTTTCTAACTTTCCTTTGATCTCGAGCCAGCAAACGCCCAGAAGTACTGCAACCTTATGTCTGCACACGTTGTAAAGGGGAATTGGACTATACACAATTCTTTTACATAAACCGGTCAAATTAGAGAGAGAACAAAAATGGAGAGATTAATGCATACCCGGAGTCCCGAGTCCAACTCCAATACCGAGGGTTGTTCGCGTGTGGGATGTAGAGACTTCTTGCTTCGAGGAAAACACTCTGCACAGCAAAAGATTTGCAGATTTGCTTTTACAGTTGGTCAATATCGATCACAAGAGGTAGAATGACATATAATAAAATGGAAATAAAAAGCTTAAGGGTAGGTGGAATCATTGTACCGTTTTTATATCTTCATCATTCTCTTCTGCAAATGAGTGACAGAGAGGGAGAGAGATCTGAGTGAGCGTGGAATGTTGATCTTCATCTTTTTGATCAGCATACAAAATAGGAATAAAGGTGGAATTATTTAAAGTATGTATGAAATAAAATGCCATATTTTGGAAAATATATAGATCAAACCAATTACTGCAAGGGAGAGAGAGACCAGATAGAGTGTGGAAATCAAGAATCTCCAATGCAAATTCTTCTCCGTATAACTGACGCTGGTCTTCTTCAATCATCCTGGCAGAAGTCACAAGGGAAGCATGGCAATGCTCCAACTGAACTGACTTCAAATTACTATGGTTTTCAATCCAACTTGGCATCTCTTTCAACTCAAAGCAATTTCTCAATACCAAGCGCTCAAGCTTTGGGAAAGGATGATCATCAACATCATCGCCCAACTCCCAATGCTTCAAATCCATAACAGAAATTATCAAAAGCTTCAATTCAGGGAACCCCTTCTCTACACTTAGTTCCCAGTCTTGTCCTACACAGGCATGATTCTTGAGTTTTAGCACCTCAAGCTTGGGCAGCATACTCATAACGTTCATAGCTTCCCACGGCATGAGAGTTTTTGCAAAGGTAATCTCCTTGAGGTTTTGTGGAAAAGTACAAGACTGCAGTTGTATAGGACAATAGGTGCCCTCAACTTTTAGCTTCTCCAGCTTATTTAAGCAGTTAAGATTATCTAAACAACGGTGGGATCTGCATCCTTGGGCGATTATTCCCAACTCCTTAACATTTGGAATCCTCAAAAGCACTTGCTTAGTGCACTGAACGCATTGCAACCAGTACATTGTTTGCAGATTTAGTTGAGCCACTTCTGGAGTGTACATTGGAATTAGCTGATGGTATAACTGAAGGTGCCTTAATTGTGCCAACTCCCACATTCCATCAGGTAACTTACGGACACCATTGAAATCTTCAGAAATAACAAGTGTTTGCAGATTCCGATTCCTGCTCACTGGTATGGAGGTGAGCAGCCAGTTTGAGGCTAAAGCTAGATATCTGAGAAGAACTACATCTATAATATCTGAAGGTATACTTCCTTTGTAGTCAAGTCCAGTTAAGTCCAGCACTCTTAACATCTTAAAAGAGTCGGCTGTCATCTGAGAACTACTGGCTAGAGAATTTAAATACCAATCAGAATCATCCCATTTACGCATATCAAAGCATAAAATGGAACGGGATTTTTTCAAAGCATCTAAACAAAAATAATCTTGAGATGTTATTTTAAGACTTAACCAACGATTTCCATCTGATTGAATATAGTAATTTTTGCAATATCTACTGCACAGAAGTTTCTCTGTTTTAGCCTTGCTTGCACACAGCTCATGCAATAGGTCATGCATCTTACATGTTTCAACTTTTCCATTTTTGCTTTGCCCACTTACCATAATCAGGCTTCTATTGATAAGATCCTGCAAATAATCTTCACCTGATTCTTCTAACGTCTTTTCACTCTCTTCTTTTATGAATCCCTCCGCAATCCATAACCTAATCAATTTTTTAATTCCAATCTCTCTATCTTCAGGAAAAACTCCAAAATATAGAAAACAACTCTTCAAATGGCAAGGTAAGTTTTTGTAACTCAGACTGAGTATTCTGGAAAATTGTTCAGACAGATCTAAATTCACCAATGAGTTTAACATTGATTTAACACTCCTCCACTCATCTACTGCCATGTTGGTGGATAGATGTCCCGCTAGCACCACAACTGTAAGTGGTAATCCTGCACATCTCTTAACAATTTCCTTCCCTATCGTTTCAAATTCTTTGTTCAGACTTTCTCTTGACAAAAACTTTTGACAAAATAAATTCCAGCTTTCATCACAATTTAAGAAGCGCATGTCATGTAAATTATCTAAACAAGCATATTTAGATACCTCTTTGAGTCGAGTGGTCAATAATATTCGACTGCCAGTGTTCTCCTCTGGAAAGCATCCCTTCACATCATCCCATGCGCCTTCAGTCCATATGTCGTCCACAATAATTAGATATCTGTGGCCCAGTAAACTTTTGCGCAGTTGTTCTGCTAGCTCATCATCCTTCATAGTGTTAATGTCATCATGCATTGGCATGACGGAACGACACAGTTGAAGGAGCACTTGCCTCTTAGTATGCTCTTGAGACATGGTTGCCCAACCACAACAGTCAAAGTGACGCTTAACTGCAGAATCATTAGCAAGTTTTCTTGCAAATGTTGTCTTGCCAATACCTCCCATACCAACAAGGGACATAACTTGCAATGGCTTATTCGAGGATAGAAGCTTTTCCTTGAACTCCTCGAATTCTTTGGTTTGCCCCACCATGGTGTCTTCAAATTTTGAAGCATGTTGGGAGGATGATTGACCAGCAGACGATAATGAACTCTCCTCCGGATGTTGAGTTTGCAAACCTTTTGTTGTTTGTGCCTCAATCATCACGATCAGATGTTCAACATCTTTAAGTAAGCGCCTCAAGGTTACATCCAGCATCTGATGACGAATCTCTACTAGCTCTGCTTCAATGTCAGATTCTGCTTCCATAGCTAGTCTAAATTGTGTCATCATTGAACCATCATCCCCTACTAGCTCTGCTTCAATGTCATATTCTGCTTCGAGAGCTACTCCTCTAATTCTTGCTATCAGATGGTTCAGCTCCTCACAATTGTGGGCTTTCTTCTCAGATTCGTCAAGAAACATTTGCAAAAAGGTAAGGTTTTTGCAGAGAGAGTGGATAAGTTGTTTGTGATTTAGAATGAGACGTGGATTGGGTTGCAGGAACTCAAGCTCTAGTGTTCGCATTAAACAAGTTAGTGCAACACAAGCCATGCCGGACTCTTAATTAGCTTCTACAAACTGTAATTAATTATTTCTGTATTGCTGCACTCAATATAATCTCTAAGCTGTGGAGAATGAGATATTGGCTTTGGAGTGTATTTATAAAGACTCAAGTGTGAAGACACAACTGCAAAAAAAATTTGTTGCTAAAACTTGCATTAAGTTGTCAACACAAAGTGGACTCGCAACAAAAATAAATTCCAATTGAGCCATTTTAATTTTTTTAAAGAAAAATGCAGTTGACATTCTTTTTAGCAGGTTTGGCATCATCATCATCAATAATAATAATATATAAATATTTGACAATATATGTTGCCCAAGTCAAAGTCAAATTAACTAGGGGTGTTCATTCGGTTAACCGAACCGAATTAACTGATTTTTTTTTTTTTTTTTTTTTTGCTTTAACCGTTAATCGAACCGAAATTTACTCTACCGAATTGGGCCGAACCGAACTTTTTTTCGATTAACCGAAATTTTTAACCTAAAATTTAAAATCCATAAAATAATTCCTAAAATAATAATTCCAATTAAAATAAAATACATATTATAATAAATTCAGATTATTATTTATTCTATTTGACATTTTGACTATTTATGATTTTAGTAATTATATATTTAATATATATATATATATATATATATATATATATATATATATATATATATATATATATATATATATATATATATATATATATATTCCAAAATTCTGTTAACCGACACTTTCGAACCGAATTAACCGTTAACCGAATTTTAAGAAAACCTTTAACCGAACTGAAATATTTCGGTTCGAAAACGGTTAATCGAATTTCATCGATTTGGTCGGTTAACCGAGATTTGCACACCCCTAAAATTAACTCTCAACAATTATGGATTGGTTGTTGAAAAAAATAGCTAAATTGTCATTTAAAGGGGTAATTTTATGATATAATTTTTAGTGTGATCCACTTATGATTTGAGTCGGGTTAAAGTGTATTCAAATTCTTTCATGTGAGATGTTTAATTAATTTCATATATTTTACGTTTAAAATAGATTGTGAGTGAATGAAAAATTAATTTTCAAAATGTACTCATTTAAATTGTGAAAAATAGAGTTCGAAAGACTTGTAAATAACATTTGTCTCACATGCATTGAAAAAGGGATGTGGGTTTGTAATAGTAAATAGAGTAAATACCTAAAATGGTCCCTCAACTATAGCTAAATTCACAAATTGGTCTTCGACTTTCAATTTCAACCAATTAAGTCCTTAACTTTGCAATTTTGATACGATTTGGTCCTCCATCTATTTGACCATTTGTTGACCGTGATCGACGATCTCCAAAAGAACCTTCAGCTCTCGTCGGAGCACGTGGAGGCCTCCAGGATGACGTTGCACCGGTTCGGAAACACGTCGTCTTCTTCGCTCTGGTACGAACTCAACTAATTGAATCCAAAGGGAGGATGAAGAAAGGCGACCAGATTTGGTAGATTGCTTTCAACTGTGGATTCAAATGTAACAGTGCAGTATGGAAATGCAACCGGAACCTTAAAAACCCGACGATGGACCATGAAATTACATATATATCCTCAAAAATCACAGTCAACAAACAGTCAAATAGACAGAGGACCAAATTGTGTTAAAATTGCAAAGTCAAAGACTTAATTGGTTGAAATTGAAAGTCGAGAACCAATTTGTGAATTTAGCTATAGTCGAGGGACCATTTTGGATATTTACTCTAGTAAATATATACAATTTTACTTTTTTAGGAATTTGAATGGTATTGTATAAAGACTCTTTCACGTGCAGAGGCAAAGGGAGGCAAACCAAATCTCAAAATGAATCTAAAAAGGTTTAGTTTGTGTGGACCCGTGATAGACACACACGAATTTCATTGAAAAATTGGCAACTCATGAGGCATAAGTTATGTCAAATTTCTGAACATTTTTTTCAACTTCCTACTCGAAGGAGCACAAGTTAGAGCAGCACAAGTTACACGAAACTATGTTGCTAGAAGCATCAAAGGTTTTTTCACGAACTCCTACTCGAAGCAGCACAAGTTGCGCAAACCTATATTGTAGACTTGGTACATACATGAATTATTATCCTACACAAATTTTTCTCTTTAATTATGTTTTAAGTTATAATTTTGATCCACCACTAACAAATTATTATTATTATTATTATTATTATTATTATTATTGATGATGATGCCAAGCATGCAAAAAAGAATGTCAACTGCATTTTTCTTTTAAAAAATGGCTGAATTGGAATTTATTTTTTTGGGGAGTCCACTTTGTGTCGACAAGTTTGAGCAACAAATTTATTTTGCAGTTGTGTCTTCACACTTCAGTCTTTATAAATACACTTCAAAGCCAATATCTCATTCTCCACAGCTTAGAGATTATATTGAGTGCAGCAATACAGAAATAATTAATTACAGTTTGTAGAAGCTAATTAAGAGTCCGGCATGGCTTGTGTTGCACTAACTTGTTTAATGCGAACACTAGAGCGCAAAGCAATTAAATCAGTACCCTTCCCCTTGGTGAACAGGGAGGGGTCAGCCGAGGACTGCTTGAATCCAATCTGAATGAGAGCATTAGTGAGCTTAGCATTCCACTGTCTACTCGCTTGTTTGAGTCCGTATAAAGACCTGAGCAGTCTGCACACTTGGTTTGGCTTTGTGCTTTCAAAACCTGGTGGCAAAACCATGTAGACCTCCTCGTTTAAGTCTCCATGCAGGAATGCGTTGTTGATGTCCAATCGATGGACGTACCAACTTCTGGATACTGCTGCAGCAAGGAAGGTGCGGATGGTGGTTAATCTCGCGACTGGAGAGAATGTTTCCAGATAATCGATCCCAAGTTGCTATGTAGCCTTTAGCTACGTGCCGCGCCTTATGCCTTTCAATCGTCCCATCATCTTTGAGCTTTACCTTGAAAACTCATTTGCACCCTATAGGTGTTTTTCTCGGAGCAAGTCTGTGAGTTCCCATGTCTTATTCTCTTGAAGGGCATTAATCTCCGCATTCATAGCTTTCTGCCAACATTCATGTTGAGCGGCTTGTTTGTAAGTCTTTGGCTCGCTAGCTGGCAGCGGTGGCAGCCATGACAAAAGCTTTGTGTGAGGGTGCGAGATGATCATAAGCCACGACTTTAGATAGGAAATGTGGAGAACTGGAATAAGGGCTGTCTTGGAAGATAACATCACAATAATAGTCTTGCAGCTTCCTGGGAGCTTGGCTATCTGTTAGACCTCTGAGGCTGATGATTATGATTCGAGGCAAGAGTTGTGTCATTCATGTCACTTTCATCGACATTATGATCATCATTATGTGGAGAACATGACCATTGGATGTTGGTGCTGTAATCAATATTCTGCAAGGGATGAGTGAGACTGTGGTGATCACTTGAGATACATGCGTCTGGTACAGTATTTAAGGGATGATGAGTGCTCTCATGAGGTGCTTGAATCATGTTTATCAAATAGACAGCATGAATCACACATTGTCCCCAGAATTCAAGAGGGAAACTGGCTTGAAAGCGAAGAGCACGAGCCACACTTAGCACATGTTGATGTTTGCGTTCAACCACAGCATTTTGCTAGGGAGTATATACACAAGTTTTCTGGTGGATGGTGCCATTCTCAGTAAAGAAGCTTTCCATATTAAATTCTAATCCATTGTCACTACGTATAGCCTTGATGGGCATACCAAATTGAGTTTGAATGAGCTTATAGAAATCCTTTATTTAAGTTCGAGTTTCTGACTTGCATTTCATCAGTCTTAACCATGTATATCTCGAGTAGTCGTCTACTATAGTCAGGAAATACCTTTCTCCACACAATGATTTAACTTGAAAGGGGCCCCAAATGTCGACATGCACCAGATCAAAACAAGCATTCGACGTAGTTATACTCACTGGGAATGAAGATCGCTTGTGTTTTGCAAATTGACAGATATCACAAGCCAGCTTCCTATTATTTGATGCAGGAATATCACAAAGCAAATGAATTTTATTGATGGGATAGTGCCCCAAACGTTGATGCCAAAGATCAACACTACACTGCATGACAAACTGATTACAAGTATTAGTTGGGGGTGTACTAAGCATATAGAGTCCTTTCTCCTCTTTAGCAAATCCAATCGTCCTCCCATGGACCCTCAGGAGGCACTGGTCAGAAGCAAACATTAGTGAGTGAGGTGAACTTTTCAATAGCTTGCTAACAGAAACGATATTGAATTTAAAAGATGGGATGTGCAGCACTTCTCTCAACCATATATCCTCAGTCAGTTTAATTCTTCCCACATGTTCCACAGTAACACGATCTCCATTAGGCAAGCTTACCATGCATCATTCCCTCAATAGTGTGATAATCATAAAAGAACTCAATAGAACAAGCTATATGATCAGTTCCTTCTGAATCTAAAATCCACGTTGAGGGAGACAAGCTAACAGAATTAATGCAAGAGAAATCAAAACACTTGCCTTCATTCTAGATTTCTAACTTATTGAACTTTGGTATGAGAGACACAGTTGTTGTGGTGGAAGTCTGACCATGTCCTGCCTGAGTTTGAAGCAGACTAATTAGCTTTTGAATCTGTTCAGAAGATATGTTATTGTCAGAAGTGACCGCTATAGTTTGTTGTTTTCCCAGCCTGGTATCCACCACGGTGGATATCAATGCTTTTTGTAGCATTTTTCGATAGTGTGCACATAACACAATACACATAAACTTTTAACTGAATACACATAATGGGATTTCGTCTGTTCGGACGGACGGAATGACGTCAGCGTGCGTTTTGTGCCTGTGCCTGGACGCACATTGCTATGTGCGCTGCGGTGCACGATATAAATTGCCCTACTAATTCTCAAACTAAACTAACCTATATGAGAAGGAGAAAGTTATTAATACAATTTAAGTGGGTGTTATCCCATAAATTTTCTTCCTTATAAATTAGCTAGGTCGAACCTCAATGCCCTTGACAATGAGCCCAGATTTCAATTCTCCGTTTGTTTTCCAAAACCGCAGTTCGACCTCACCTTCATTTGTTGAACTAACGTAAAAATCTCCGAGCTTAATCTCCATCCACCCATCATAGCGACAGTCTGGAAATCGGCCAGGGTCTTCAGAAGACCTCTCTTTTGCTAAAAATACTTGACAACGTCG